GCTGGAAAAACAGTTCATAAGACATTTGGATTGCCGGTTCCATTATTTGCTGATTCAACATCTGCTATTAAAATCCAATCAAAGAAAGCTCAATATTTGAAAAATACAGATATTTTTATCTGGGATGAAGCACCAATGGCACCACGATATGCTTTAGAAATTATGGATCGAACATTGCGTGATATTATGAACAATGATTTACCTTTCGGTGGAAAAATTGTTTTATTAAGTGGTGATTTTAGACAACTTCTGCCTATAAAAGTACATAGTATTCGAAATGAAATTGTGAATCTTTCTATTAAATTTAGTGCTATTTGGAAACATTTTGTAAATTATTCTTTAACACAAAATATGAGTTCTTCCACGAGAAATTGAATTTGCAAAATTTCTTTTAGATATGGAAGATGGCATATTGAATGATTCTAATGATAACATACAAATTCCTGAATATTGTATAGCACCTATTAATGCTGATATTGTAGAAGATATATATGGCGATTTAAGACGGAAAAAGGAATTTACCAAAATGGCTAAATGTGCTATACTTTCTGCAAGAAATACTGATGAAATACTGATGAAATACTGTAGATGAAATTAATAAAAAAGTTGTTGAATTATTAGATATAACTAATGAACGAATTTATACAAGTGTTGATAGTACTATGAATTGTGATGATAATGGCGATATTGGTGAAGCTTTGTTACCAGAATATTTAAACAGTTTATCTCCATCATGTCTTCCTCCTTATGAATTACGTTTAAAGCCAAATTGCATTATTATGTTGATTAGAAATCTTAGTATCAATGAAGGTCTTTGTAATGGTACTAGATTAATGATTATAGAACTTACAGATCATTTATTGAAATGTAAAATCTTAACGGGTGATAAGATAGGAGATATCGTTTTTTTAAATCGTATAACATTATATTGCGAAAATGTATATCCTTTACTTTTTCAAGAAGACAGTTTCCAATAAAATTAGCATTTGCTATGACAATTAATAAATCACAAGGGCAAACATTTGACAGAGTAGGAATAGATCTTCGCAAAGATGTTTTTAATCATGGGCAATTATATGTTGCTTTCTCAAGAGTTCGTTCTTGGTAAGCATTAAAAGTTTTTCTTGGTAATCAACGAGATAATAAACACGTTAAAAATAATGTATATAAAGAAATATATATGTGAAATAAAATATATATTAAACTGAGAGCTGTATTTAAAGATGTATATTATAGTTAATTAATTTTTTAAAACTGTATGCATATATTGTGTAGTATAAATAAAAGAAAAAGAAATATCTAAAAATTTTGACGATTCTGATGTTACTGAATATTTTTTAAACTTCAATTTAATATAACTTTTTGTATAACAAAAATATAATATTTGATTAAAATTATTCAATATACAATCAAAAATTGTAAAATAACAGTGTTTTTAAATGTTGATAAAATTAAACGTTACGATTCTTTTGTACAATAATATTTTTAGGATATTTTAATCTAAGATAAAATTGTATTTTTTTTTTATTATATGCGAAGCTAAATAGCGCGCGCGAAGCGCGCGCCTGTGTTGTTCTAGTAAATACAAAAAATTAAAATTACAGATATATAAATTTAAAACGATCCGACAGAGAAAAATCATGTATCTCATTGATGATAGAAAGAAATTTAATAATAATTAGAGTGCATGGAAGATAATTTTATTTTTACATTTGTATGAGGTGTGCGTGTGTGTGTGTGTGTGCGTGCGCGCGCGCGTATGCGTGTGTATGTGTTATTAGCAGATAAAAAACTAATATTACACTTCAATTAAAGTGTCATTTTTTAATCTTTTATATTTAAATTCCGGTTCTGGACGTTTATTGATCCAAGTTTTTGTATTCGATTTGTTCATTATAGATTCTGGGTCAACGGCAGCCTCTTGAAGTTTTAATAAAGCATTTTTATCCTCCGCAAATTGGTGATAGTTTTTACACTTTTTTGATTTTTTTTTGTCTTCCGTATATATTTCTCTGCTTTCCGTAATAACTAAAAATTTTTTTGATGTGCTTAACAGTTTTATTCCAGAATTCTTCTTTCTTTTCTGTTTCTGTCCCGTACAATGTTGAATAATTTTGTTGTTCCTTAACTCTATGGACCTAAAAAATATTGGCAATTGTTTACAGAATAATATTTTGTTGAAATTAGATACTAAAATACACAATTTATTAAAATTACTAGTAAAAATTTGAATATTTACTTTGATTCTTACCCTTCTAAAATTTTGTCTAGTTTCTTGGCAATAAAATTTTGAAATGAAGTAGTAATACCTAAATTCGTGAATTTGTCCTCTTTTAAACTTATTCTCAAGGACTTTTTATTGGATTTATTAATTTCTAATTCTTCTGAAATTACAAAACATAATTAGCACAATATTTTTATACTTATGTTAATGACTATTTGTATTTTGTATATATTAATTTTAAAATACATTATAAAAGCAAAATTTGTTTTACATACCATATTGAGGAACAATGATCGTTTTCTTCGAGATATATAGATTATCATTCAAAAATTGTTGATCTATTACTTCCTTCAGAATTTTTACAGACATTTCATTCTCCGAACTTGACGAATTTGCCTGCTCATTAACTTTCTCCATTGTTTCTTGTAATAATGATATATTGTATATGAACTGTAAACAAAATTTTATCTGTTTCATACAAACTATATCTTACACTAAACAAACTACTAAACAAACTACTAAAAAATCCGATTTTTATAAAATAATTAATGTCACCTTTTATTATTTGTTTTATTGTTTTACAATAGAAATATATAGTATGTCTAAAAAAAAACGTGACTGGCTTTTTTCTATATAGATTTGTAAGTGAATTGACTTTTTTCTTTATTGATTTTGAAATGAGTTTATTTTTAACCGTTTAAAACCCGTTGGGATATATACCCATACAGCACAAAATATCCTACATATCCTTATTCCCATATATATATAGGGGAGATCTCGATGTCCTCAGAACATCCTTGGGACACCGAAATATCCTCGATGTCCTGGGGATATCCTGAGGATGTTTTGTGCTGTATGGGTAAGTTCCATGAAATTATTTAATGTGGTAAGTAAATAACAATTTTCTTTGAAGTTTTTGATTATTTTAGTGAGAATTTTACGCAGAACTTGAATGTGAGTATTTATCGTTATTATACAAATAATTTTAAATTTAAAAAATAAATTAAAATAAAAAATTTTTTTATATTTAGTACTTGCTTTTGTAAGCAATGCGGTGCAGCGCCGCCGATTGAGCGTCACTGTACCCCCTTTCCCGCGGTCCTCGCGACCACGCGCGAGTTATCTAATGCGCTGCGTCTAGCGACCTAGGCGTAGGAATATCCTTAATAAGGGCCAATCAGGATTAACTGATGCAATAGGCGATCCTTGAGCGTGTCACGGCATGTGTGCCGGGCAATTGCCGTTTGAGCAGTTCGTGTGACAACACGTCCGTCGTGTTTTCGGTAATCAGTACCACGATGTATGTACGCAAGTGTTAATGATATTAATAAATATCGTTATTGTATTATTGTGTTTGCACCTAATATACCGTCCTGCCTTTTGATCCTGACAGATCCTCGATAAATAACTTCGAGTGGACATTTATGTGATTACCGGTATCGCCATTGCTATTGTAAGAATAGTGTCGGTCGTAGATGTACGTGCCGTACCCATCGGTGGTGCATCGTACGTATCGCGTAATTACCTAACGTAACGCTTACAGCGGGTACGTTAATATCTCAGAAGTGGGATAAGATTGATAATTGTTATTATTAAACCTCCCGTCTTCTTAGTTCGTTTATCGGAATATCCTGTCATTCCTATCCAGGATTATTTTCCGTTTGTCCTGCAAACACAATATTTGTGCGCGTTACACGTGGTCGTGTGAACATCGCCATTTCGTGATACGTCGCGTTCGTAGCGCCGAGTCGCCATTTCGTGCGAGTGACTTATTCGCCTCTGTAGTGAACGCTTCCGTAGTAAACACTTGTGATTTGTAATTGACGATGGATCGTCATTACTTGGACAGACTCTCATTCGAAGAGCTTTGTGCTGAGGCTTTTCGCCTTCAGATATTACCGCGTGATAATTCGCGTTCGAGTCTCATTGACCAGATCATGTCATATTACGAACGACACGGGTCGTCTCAGGACAATGAACAATTAAACGAAAGTGCGGTTTCTACGGACAGTGTCTCGCCACCGCAAAATACCGATTCGCTTCATCCACCGCCGTCACTGGCTGGTCCGTTTCCGCGAAGTGACATTACGGTTAGTGCGGGTAGTGCCGCTTTAACGACGCAAAATCCTTGTGCCGAAACATCCGTTGCCGAGCCGAGTGACTCAGCTGCGCCGTCACAAAGTGAATTGTCGCGTTTGTGCGCGATGATGCAACAAATGCTAGTTGCGATTAGTGCAATTCCGAAAGCCTCATCAAGGCCCGTTAATACGCCGGTTTTTCCGCCGGTCGTTCCGTGTTCCGCCGGTTGTTCCGCCGGTTATTCCGCAAGCCTCACTAAGGCCCGTTAACCCGCCGGTTTCACCGTACGGTTTTGATCAAAACATTGATCCTACGAGTGGGCAAAATCGTTTCGTGAGTGCTATTCCGAACTTTAACACCTCTGGCCTGTCAAGAGGTGGTTCTATTCTTTCAACGGCATCAGCCGCTCAAGCAGTCAATTTGTTGGCGTCACAAATTCCCAGTTTCAGTGGATCGGAAGAAGAAAACGTGGAACTGTGGTTGAAAAAAGTAGAACGCATCGCGCGAATACATGGAGTATCTGATGACGTCACTTTGCTAGCCGCTTCTAGCAAGCTGACAAAATCCGCGCGTAAATGGTTCGATTTGGACGCTGGAACAATTAACGACTCATGGTCATCGCTCAAACAAGCAGTAACGAATAGATTTCGTCGTCGTGTCCCGTTCTTTGTGACCATGCAGAAAGTCGAAGCGCGTAAGTGGAACTTCGCGAAAGAGACATTTCAAGATTATGCTCTTCATAAAATAGAGCTTATGCAGAATCTCGATCTGTCTGACTGTGATGTGATTAACGCTTTGATTAGTGGAATTGGTAGTACATCATTAAAAGCAACTGCCATTTCATTAAGAGCTAAGTCAGTTGATGAATTTTTGCAAAACATGTACGACATCACGGTTATGTGTGACGTGAACAGAAAACAGTCACCGCCTTTCAAAAGGAAAGTGAAAGACTCAAATGACACTTCGGTAAAGAATAGTGACACTTCTGCAAGGAACAGTGACTCTTCAAAAGTGCACAAAGACATAATTTGCAATTATTGCAAAATTAAAGGACACATTCGTGCTGATTGCTACAAGCTCAAAAGAAAAGAGCAGCAGTCTTCTACATCACCGACTTCTGACGTTGTCGCAGCAGCCGAACCAGTCGTCAAACTAACACCCGTTGCAGTCTCCTGTGCAGAGGATCGACAGCCTTCAAAGGACGCTTCCTCTTCCTCAACGGTAGCTTGTGTGGTTCAACAAAAAGGATTGGAGATATCTGATCCTCCTCTTGTAAAGATTATTTCGTTGAATAATATTGCGTGTGATTTATATAGCGTTCGTAGATTCTAATAACCCAGTCTCTTTTATAAGTCCTCGCTTGTATCAAAAATATTTTAACCGAAATACTTTGATCAAAAATAATTCAGATACGTGGATTGGCCTAAATGGTCTTCCTATTGAAACAACTGGTTTTGTAAATTCTTTTGTTTGTTTTGAGAAATTACCAGATTTCAACGGACAAATTCAGTTAAATGTTTTACATAATAATGTTTTTAATGCTGAATTAATAGTAGGTCGTGACTTTCTTAATAAACACGACATTAGTATCCTTATTTTGCCTTCTGCAAAAACCGCGGAAAATAACTTAAAGTTTTTCCGTCAAATAGCTTTCGCTAATTCCTTTATTGAGCAGCCGTTGAAAAACGACTTTGAATCTGCTGAATTAAAAACAGATTTTGATGATCAAATAAAAGATAGATTGTTAACTGTATTGACTGAGGTGGATAATTCTCAGGTCACGCCAATAAAAGACAATTACTCGGTTAAAGTAAACTTGAAAGATCATTCAACATATGCGTTTGCGCCAAGACGTTTCGCGTTTAATGAGCGTTTAGAGATGCGTAAACTAATCGATGATTTGTTAACCCGAGATATTGTTAAGTATAGTTCATCGCCGTATTGTGCGCGGGTTGTTCCGGTGCGAAAGAAGAACGGTTCTCTTCGTCTCTGCGTTGACCTGCGGCCTTTGAACGATCGGGTAGAGAAACAAAAATATCCGTTCCCTCAAATAGAGGATTGTCTCTCACAGTTATCGGATCGAACGGTTTTCTCCTTACTCGACCTTAAAGATGGTTTCCATCAAATAGACCATCCAGATCATACGAAGTATTTTTTGTCGCGACGCCTGATGGACAATACGAATTTAAGAAACTTCCGTTTGGATATTGTGAAGCTCCCGCGGAATTTCAAAAACGCATAGTACACGTTTTACAATCCTTTATTCGAAAGGACGAAGTCATCGTCTATATTGACGATATATTAATACCTTCCAAAACAGTGGAAGAGAATCTCAAGACTCTCAAAGAAGTACTTTTGATTTTAAAACAATATTCTTTTCAGCTCAATTATGAGAAATGTTCTTTCTTAAGAACCACAATCGAATATTTAGGGTACTATTATTTCCCCAGATGGAATAACTTTAAGTCCTCGCCACACTGAGGCCATACGCAATTTTCCTCAGCCTCAAAAACTTGTAGAGGTTCAACGCTTCTTAGGCTTGACCAATTATTTCCGTAAGTTCATTAAAAATTACGCTGCCATAGCAAAGCCTTTGAATAATTTAACGAGGAAAGCTACTCAGTTTAATTTTGATAGTTGATTGTTGTCAATCCTTCGAGACTCTCAAAAAAGAACTTGTTTCGTTTCCGGTTCTTCGTCTTTACAATCCTGTTGCAGAAACTGAGCTGCACACGGATGCCAGTTCCATTGCTCTGGCTGGAATCTTATTTCAAAAGCAAAGTCAAGGTAAATGGGCCCCGGTCGCCTATTACAGTCAAACAACTAACCAAGCTGAGTCAAAGTATCACAGCTTTGAGCTGGAGATGCTAGCCGTATTGAAATCAATCGAAAGGTTTCATATATATCTTTACGGTTTGAATTTCACGGTCGTTACCGATTGTCATGCTCTTGTGTACGCCGTGAATAAGGCTCACTTAAATCCACGCATTGCGCGTTGGACATTACGTCTTCAAAATTATCGTTTCCAGGTTTCTCACCGAGCTGGCCATAAAATGTGCCACGTCGACGCCTTGAGTCGCGTTTCCAGTTACGTGAGCATATGCCTCTCGAAAGAGAACTCGAGTTTAAACAACTTACAGGATTCTACTTAAAGGAAATCGTACATAAACTGGAATTTGAAGACCACGATAAATTCAACCTAATTGATGGTCTTATCTTCAAAAAAGGATCAGACAAACCTCGTTTTGTTGTCCCAGAATCTATGATTTAAAACATCAATCGGATTTATCACGATGAGCAAGCTCACTGTGGTTTTGATAAAACGGTTGAAGGAATTTCTTCGAATTACTGGTTTCCTTCCCTACGTAAAA